ACTGTCTGCTTTATCTGTCCAGCAAGATAAGGCTATTTTAGCCACATACTAGGTCAGTACCAGCTGATCAGAATTAACGTATCTGTTAATACAAAGACAGCAAAGAAAGGAGAAGAGTCACACTGCAAAACACAAGATATGCATACCAGAGATTGTATATAGTGACACTGATATTTCTACTACTAAATTCAGCAAAGTTTTTTAGTGTAGTTTTATGAGGAAACAAAACCTACACAGCCGTAATCACTGCCCACTTGTCATTTTCATCTTAAAACACCAAGACCAGCGGCCAGTTTCAATCAAATCTAACAGAAATAGGAGACTTGCATTTAGTTTTGTCACAGAATGAGTTGTGACAAACTGATGACACTCAGAGATTAATATCCCAAGCAATGCAGCAATTCCAGTGGCCCAAGCCAGTTATTGCTGCTGCTGTCCCTACTCTCTTCCCTACAGCATGGTTGTGCACATTTCTGCACATGGCTTAGATGAGTTCTGAAGCAACTTCAGTTGTCTGCTAGGTTAGCATGTTAATCTGACAAGGACAGTGACAAAGCAGACAGAAATGGCTTAATGCAGGGTCAGACAAGCATGAGAATTAGTTCAAATGAGGGAAGAGAAATGCAGCAGCCAGTAGATCAACAGCTTAAGAGTGGCATGCAACTATAGCCCAAGGTAAAGTTCGCAGCATCGGCCTTAACAGGTCTCTTTTCTGCTCCTCTCTGGTTTATGATAGCACATTCTCAGAACATAAGCAGCTTAGAAGCAGGTACAGATTTTGTCCAAAAAATCAGTGGATGTAAGAGAAGTGGATGAGGAATGGAGGGAGCACTAGAGGTAAGAAAAACAGGAAAAAGGACATGTGGAATATTGGAGCTGTAGGGACAAAGAAAACAAAACTAAGAAATCTTAAAATATTAATAATTCTTCTACTCAGAGTACTGTATATATACAGATAACTTTTATACCACCAACGAAATATGGCTGTCACACCACAGAACATAATAACCATTCCACCTACAAAATCCAACCTATAAATTACACCAGAAATAGCATAGCTTTTGCCACTAACTTGACATGAATTCACTAGCACTGGATAAAGAAGAATGTCAAAATTATCCAGTATTTCCGCACAAATCTCACAAAGAAGATTTTAAAACCTAATGAACAAAATGACACTTGATGAGGTGTCCCAGCACTAGTTCTCAAGTA